GATCACTCTGCAAGAGCACTTTGCTTTATTTGTTAGGGTTGAACATGCTCGAATCGAAGTGACAGACAGGTGTATTTATAATGGATTTTTTTGTACCGGTAGGGAACAGACAATCAGAGGGGCTTGCCGTATCTCATCGGTCCTTGGACACTCATGGTGGCAGGACAAGAGATCGAGTTCAGAGCCTTGACAATCATTGACCTAGTGACCAACTTAGTCGAAATTGTGCGCATTAAGGACAAAACGTGTGCGAACGTAACAAAAATCATGTTGTTCTCGTTTTGGCAGAGGGGCTAAGGACTCACTTGGATACTTTTTCGGGCTTTTTATTTCGCGAAAGCAATATATATATCATATGAATGAATGGATTACTCGTACTGTAGGAGTCGAGATGCCCGGAACCAGGAACCAGTGAGTGGTACCGGTATTAGCAAGGATAAAGTATTAGGTAAGGTACAGTACATATTTGCTGAACGGCCCATTGCAAGTGCGAGCTCAAAGGGCCAACAGTACCAGTACCCTTGTACGAGAATACAGCCGGACAAAACCGTCGGCGATTGATCCCGCTGTAATCAACATCCAAAACGCTACCGTTTACGATAGCTATTGAAGAGTTGTGAGCAGCATGGATGACTGACAGAGTAATGATTTCTGATTTCAATAGTTATAATGTATCAGTTCGTGTAAAAGTCAATTGCTCGCTACATCTTTCCCTCTTTACTTGTGCCTCAGTGTTCCCCCAAAATTCTTCAAAATATAGTAGTATTATCCTCGCTATCGGTTATTTCTGCCACTTGTCTGGTCGTCGAGGCTTGCAGTAGTAATCCTTTCAATCCTTGTCGTATTGGTATCATTATTTTAATAAAATATGTAGAGTCAGGTGCATTCATGATTTCTTCCTACGAGTCGACGAGTGAGTCGATCTGGAATGTGCGGATCGACGAGGGGAATGTGCAGATCGATGCGGAGAATGCGGACCAATGCTTGACTTTCGCGTTGGCTTCTGTAGGGTCTCTGTCATCGAAGGAGAGGACCATTTGGCACCCACAGATGGCACGGAATAAGCGGAACCTTCATCCGCATCTGTGATCGAACTGTCTTCTGGAAGGTCATCGTAGCCCCCGCGCAAACTCTCTTCATACTCTACATAATCCGAATGGTACTCGTCGCACTCAGGTGCCTCTATGTGATCGAAGACAGCGTTCAAGGCAGATTCGATGTGAGAATAGTCTTCCACTGAATCTTTCCGTTGTGGTTTGAGCAACTGCATAGACGAATTTCGTTTTTCACGCTCGTCTCCAAGAGCATTAGTTCGTTTCGTGTGTCTTTTCTTATTCTTGCTGGTTCCACCATTCTCTGGCAAGTCCAATTCTAATAAAAGCCTCGCAAAACCGCTTGCGCTATTCGTTGTCTTGTTACGGGTGTTTCTGGTTGGAGTCGTCCTCGTGGGCGTATTTATTCGAGGAGATTCGAAAATGGAATCATCGCCATCTCCTCCAATCGTCAACATGGAAACGAGTGCGTCACAGGACTGAGGTGCATGTATCTTATTCCTCTGGGGGAATGGCAGAGGACTGCTATGGTCAGCTAGTTTCGAGTGGTTATCCATGGTTGCAGTATTATGACTAACGCGTACCCAACGTTGCGTGTGATGCTGTATACCCACCCACTACCAGGTACCTGTTACCATCGGTCCGGTATTGATGGCGGGCATAGAGTTTCCTTTGGTCGCGAAATGTGATGCTGATTGAAAACTCTCTTTCGGAGGGGCTATGGTAACTCCGAAAACGCGACGGTATTCGATCGGAACAAGTGACATTTAGGATTCGCCGCGAACTTTTGTTGCATCCCGGAAAAAATAACCGACACACTGTGATCTTTTTTCTGCTTGGGAAATGTTGCCGTCTCCAAGTAGAGGGGCTATGATAACTCCGAAAATACCACCGCATTCAATACACCGAAAGTAAAGTTGAACTTCGTTTGTTTTAGGGCCTGAAAGAAATATCATTCAATAAACCCACTTCAAATTATTTGTCAGAATGATGCATCGTATTGCACTTCAATCAAAGCGAACCCGCATTCCAGCTGATCGCCACTATTTTGTCTGATCAGATTTTAATGTTTTGTTTACCTCCTCGTGTCAACGAACCGAACTATTCATTCTTCCGATCAGAACAGCTGAAAGACTCGCCGTAACCAAAACCGCAATTCCCAATGCAAATTCACATCACTCTATGCTCACAAATCAGCCAGAAGCAGTTACGAAACAGCAACCGATACTATCAATCATGACTCACTCTAACAACTTGAAACAATTGTCATCAACTCGCCGCCCAATGTCATTGGACGCTGCCCTCAAGACGATGCCATCTCCCGACTTCCTTCCACGTGCTCTCCCTAGGGATGATTCACCGGAAGGACGAAGAGACTTTTTGGTTGGAATCTTGGATGAAGTCCTTGACATTCTGAATGAGGACATCTTCGACGACGATCTCGACACCAAGTCAGACCACGGCTTGCCGCAATAAAAGGGGTGACACACAATTTCACCTCTGCTAGCTACCATGTACACATGAAAATGTAAAAAACAAAATGTAAATATAGACATAGATATTATTCAATACAGATTCATTCATTCATAGACTATGCAATAGTGTGTTGAGACAATTGGCTCGTTTCAAACAGCTCTACTGCAGTCCCACCAAATGCTGCTGCCAGTATGATCCTTTTCAACGTAGACTTGTTTTGTGCTGATTTACAATTTTGATCGAAGTTACATCTCGCTACCCTCTACTGCATCATCTAATAAATGAAATAAGAAGCGAATTTGTATCAAGAATATTTGTTCCTATGTCTTTACATTGCAGTTATTCATTGTGTCAAGGCAAAATGGTGGTTTGCCTCATTATGGGGGCACCACGAGACTTATTATTGGTGTTGTATCGTCAGCCCGGCACACCACGGCCCGCAAGTAGCTGGAGTAGCACGATTCGGGAGAGAGACTTATGGTGTCCTTTGCAATGGACGTGGGAGATTTTTCTTCTTTTTGTCTTTCGTTGGTCGTCGAGGCATGTAGATTTCGTTTCAATTGTTACTCCGGTACATTTTCTTGCTCAATCTGCAGATCGATGGGGAGAATGGGGAGCATAACCAAGGCTCGACCTTCGCACTGGCTTCTTGAGGACCTCGGTCATCACGTGTGTTGACCATTTTGCACCTGCTGCAGACGGGATGGAACTTTCTTCACAATCCCACTGGCACCCGGCACCCTCAGGTGCCTCAATGATGAGATCGAAGACAGCATTTAGTGCTGATTCGAGATGAGCCAAGTCTTCCATTGACTTTTTCCTTTGGGGCTTCATCATGGGCATGGAAGAATTTCGCTTTTCACGAAGCAGCCGCTCCTCGTTACCAAGAGTAGCATTGACTCTTTTTGTGTGTCTATCGAAGAGGAGCTTCGTAGGAGATTCATCCAAAATAGAATCATCACCATAATCCTCGCCAAGGGTCAACATGGAAACCAGTGCGTAGCAGGACTGCGGTGCATGTATCTCATAGGGAAGTGTCTTCTGGGGAAATGGCAGAGGGCTGCTATCGTCAGTTAGTGTCCATCGGCAATCCATATTTTCCTTCAGTCTTTGCATAAAAGTGACCCCAATTGTCGTCAACAATTTCTCGTCAAAATACCGTCTGGTCGAAACCATAACTGCGCTTACCTACCGGTACCTGGTACCGTTTACGTGTACTGGTATTTTCAAATGTACATGCGGTCCGGTATATTGTCTGTTCGGATCACGAAGAACCCTTATCATCCTCAGGTCGCGAGACGTACAGTGTGAGCTGTATGCACGGGCTGTGGTCTGTGATATTATCTCCGAAAACACGACGACGGTATTCAATACGGCACACCATTGTGAAGTTGAACTTCAGCAAGTTTTAGCTCCCAAAAGAAATATCAGCACTGTGTACATAATGTACCGAATTGAACACAATCATAGAAATGCTTAAAGCAGAGAAGCCAAATAAATTATCTGATCAAACATTTGGATTCAACGTGAAACGAATTTTGTAATACAGTGGCGTTCTTCAAGAATATCCGCCTTCTTCTTTTCAAGTTGCGAGCACTATGTATTAGCTAGGTAGACATATAAAAACATTGTGTTTTTAAAGTTCGATGGCGAAAAGACACCTCGGACGAAACCTAAAGGACTCTATAGTGCGCAAACAAATCCCAGCATCAGATTTCATAACCAATTGCTCTCACAAATCAATATTTGCCACTTGAATCAATTGCAAGTTACCAAACACCAACCAATATCATCATGACTCAATCCAACAACAACTTGAAACAAGCGTCGCCAAATCGCCGCCCAATGTCATTGAAGTCTTCTGTTTTGCAAAATATGATGCCATCTTCCGACTTACTCCCCCGTCGTGCTCCTCCAAAGAATGATTCACCACAAGAACGAAGTGCCTTTGTGATTGGAATCTTGGATGAAGTCCTTGACATTCTGAATGACGACATCTTTGACGACGAGGATGATCTAGTCTTCGACACCAAGTCAAACCGCCGGTTGTCTCAATAAAGAAGAGGCAAAAACACGACCACACAATTTTGCCTCTTATTGGTAGCTAGTACCATGTACAAACGAAAATGTAAACATAGATACAGATTATGATACTCATTACAAAATCATAGATTCAGCCAGTCTTTAATTCAAAGAGTTTTTAAAAAGTGTGTAGCGACATGCATCCGTGTGCAACGACATGCTGCATCTGTTCCTTATTTTAAACAACATTTCTCTTCTACTTTTGAAAAAGGACAATCCTGCTGCCTGATGCTATTGTTGGAACCAGAACAAGAACGCTATTATACTGTCTACTACTTTTCCCCTTCAGAGTCAATCGTTTGTGTGTTCTTGGCCGTGGCGGATGCCACCTGTACACTGCTTTGATTGACGGTGCTAGGAGTAGTTCTATACTTGCAGTTCCGAAACGCCGTTACATAGACTGGATCATAGGCGATTTCTGAATAGTCAATCAGCAGATTTTTGACGACAACCCGATCAGAACTTTGGAGGCTTTGGGTCTAGTTTTGTTGTCATACTGTCTTTGTTGCTCTTTTTTGGCAGTGACATTTGCATTTCCACCATCGGCATTAGGATCGTTATTATTTCCATCCCCGCCATGATTCAACACCATTGAATCGTCCATTATTGTTGCTGCCATTTCAACATCATTCCAAGTTTTACAGCCATCCGCTTCTTGATTTCTTGCAAGGCAGAGTTGCAAAGCTTCCACCACCGTCCTTGGCGGAGTTGCGATTGTTTCCATTCGTGTCGGATTTCGTGAATCTCTTGCAATACCCTGGATCTTCTTTCTTGTTGTCGCCAAAGTCTTCCGACTCGTTGTCATTGTTTCCAATGCTGCCATCCATATCAAACCCGATGCCACTGAGGGTTCCAAGACATCCTTCCGATAGTTCCACCCCTTCGACCATCAAGTTACCCTATACTTTCGCTTTCGAGCCATTCTCAGTAGGGTATGGAGCTGTCGTCTTGTTGGTGTTGGTTGCCATCACGCCAATCCGCAGTCCATGTCTGCTGCTGGTTCCATTATTTGGCAGTAAGTCCAATTCGAGTAATAAACTCTCGAAGGAAAGGATTCATTCTTCTTCACAAAATATGACTCATCATAGCATAGGAAGACTGCGATGCATGTACTTCATTAGGGGTTGTCTTCTTTTTTGAAATGACAGAGGGCCGCTGTGTGGTCAAGCAGCGTCCATCAGCAATCCATCATATGGTTTGGGTACCGGTATGTGTTGTGTACGACTCTTTCAGTCCAGTCATCAAAGAATCCTCCTACTGTACCTTCTTTTTCTTGTCGCGAGATGTGCGGAGGTTGCTCCTAGAGGGCTGCAGTTAGGATCCGAAAGCAACACGGTACTCAATACCTCTTCTTGCTCCCAATCTCAAATCTTCGAGGGTGATGGTATCCCCGAAAACACCACGGTACTCAATACACCGAAGGTTAAGTTGAACTTCGGCGTTTTCAAGGTCCCAGCACAAATATCACAATTCAGCACACAATGTACTGCGTACACGTGTACACGTACTGCGTAAACCAATAGTCTAGAAGAGCGGCTAATTGACATATCTGATCAGATACACCTGCACACAAACCGAACTTTTCTTCAGTCTTGTTCTCCAAGAACATCGGCTTTCTGTCTTATCAGTTAAAGGGCATGGGTTCACATAGACATCGAAATGGCAGAAAGACACCCGTCGTCACAAAACTGCGGTACTGTCCAAAATTCCAAGATCAGATTTCACACCCCCATTATAATATAGAGTTATTACTGTATATATATATGTCCGTATGTCCCGTCTGCGTGCTTAATGTACTGCGGCTACGGCAGGAGCATCCCAAAGTTTGTCCTAGCTACCGAGCGATAAATAATGCATCAACTGGCGGGTCACGCCCGCCTCCGCGCACATCTCACAGTGGTGCTGTGTCGGTACGAAATTCTCAACTCACACATGAACATCACAAATCACAACCCATCATGAAGCAAGGCAACAAGCAAACAACAACAACACTCCAAGAAGAACTAAAAAGAGCATTGAAAACGCTGCAAGAAGCGAGGCTGCGAAAGGCAAAGGCAGATGACGAATTCGATTTGGCATCTGCTGAAGTTGCTGCCCTCGCCATGCAGCAGCTTACGACAACAAGGAACTCGCAGGCAACTAAAGTTGTGAATAATTCTACTTGTAAATGTAGCGAATGCGAAATAGTTATATGCGAAATATGAATATCGCTTTACTTTATCTATGTGTGTCTATATGTGTGTGTATATTTGCATCGTGCCTTGTTTGTTGAAATGATACCATTTCGACTTGTCTGAATTTACATCACTTGTAAGGCACCAAAATCACCGGTTCTGCCCCCTCTTTCGCGTTCGCTTCGCGTTCGAGAATAGCCTACGGAGAGGCTTTTGTTTTTTTCATACTTAGAGAAAAAGAACAATAAAGCAAGACTAACCAATTAAGGCATGAACTATTTTCGGTGTAATTGTTTCAGACTTTTCTGTAGAGAGTCAGTATCGTTTCAACAGGTGCGATTTTTTTGAAGCATGAAAAATCAAAAAAAACGAGATGGAAGTCAATTTGTTTACGCGTTTTGCGTAGAACTGCGATTTGTACTGAGCTCTCCAAAAATGTTCCTGCCGCTCTAAGGCCTTTCATTACCAACTCCATGTATCAGCTCTACACAAGGCTACGAACGAAGGATATTGAGGGGAGGCTGAACATACTGGAGGGGACGATTTCGTTTTCTCACCTTGGTGAAGAATTTTCTCAAAAACAAAGGACAATGGCACAAGGATGGCCTTTTCACCATGATAGAGTCTTTGAAACTCGCTAAAAACTTGTATTCCAATAGATAAAAAATGAACTAATAGATTATGTAAGCAAAGCTGTAAGCAAAGCTGTCTAAGTATCTGATCTTCGTCCGCGTCGTGCGTGAACTGGAATCCAATTCTTATTTTGCAAGTACTGCACGAAACTTCTCATGTTTTTGTTCAAATCCACCGCATACTTTTCATTCCATTCGTTGCAAACCGAGTCGATCGACTTGGATTCGGCTTCAGACTTCTTTTTAATCGCAAGACAAATCCTGCCTTGTCTTGAGACGCGTTGTTGTATGTTTTTTCCCCTCCATTTTGCGCCGTGCAACTCCTCCAAAGCGGCAACTCCTCCAGCCATTGGCATGTCCTTGTAGTTTCCTAGGCCGTGCCATTCGTCCCACATACCTTTTAGATTGTTGTGTTGCGATTCAAACGTAAAACTGCGAATTTGTTCCGTCAGATGCAGGGGATTCGCAGCCGCCGCAATTGTTTGTTGTTGCATTGCTGGAAGTGCTGGAAATGCTGATGGTGCGGTAGCGGTAGCACTCCGCATATCTCCGACCATCGATGTCATTCCGCTGAGTAGCGACTGCCATGTTGCGAGCATCGTGTCCCGCATAATCGCCGCCTGCCATGTTGCGAGCGTCGTGTCCCGCATCATCGCCGGGATCGCCTCCCTCAAATCATTTACATCTTTCTTTACTTCCATTATATCTTCTCCGTTTCGCCGAACGCCCTGCCCCAGGCTGTTGAAATGCTCAATGACGCCGGGAAGCACAGCGTCAACGGTGGCAGTTCGCACCTCAACAGCATGCGACAATTCCAGTCGCATTTTCGCTGTGTATTCCTGAGAAAAGGGGTCGTGTTAGAAGACAAGGAAAAGCAACAAGCAACAATCAAACAGTACAGTACAGTGGAACTTACCAGGAATAACTGATTGCGGAAGAGCTCCGGAAAGGCCTGGAAAAACATGTGGCCATCGCACCTTTCCGGATGCAGGACCTTCATTGCCGCCGCGTCCTGCAGGATGATTGTTCTGAGCCGCAAGAGCATTTCTAAGAAACCCCTGGCGGTTCCTAAATAGTATCCACCCATGCGACTGCCCTTGCTCTTGCAAGCCGCCTCAACTTTTTCCAATGCACGATCCGCGAAGGGGAAAATTTTCTTCTCAAGTTCTTCAGGTGGAACAACCAACGCTCGCGGATTGTAGTACCGCCCCTCGCTGGTTGTAAACCCGGCAGCGGCTCTCATTGCCTTGAGTGGCAGATGGGTGCTGTAACACTGGTCGCGGATGTTGACCGCCCAGTTGCCCAACATTCGAATAAACTCTTCGTCAATCTCTAGGTACTGAAGATTCATGTTTCCAAACAGCCTTCCAAGGTGCTGTAAATGTGTGGATGGAATGCCCAGCTTACCTAGAATCTCCCTCATTGAATCGCTGAAGTTCTTTGGCTTGATGGGCCTTTTCCGCCCTTCCTCGGCAGTTTCGGCTCCATTGTGTGTTCCGAATGATACCAACAGCTTGATATCATACCACGCACTGTTGTCGGTGAAGTCTGGGCAACGATCTTCCTCGAACTCGCCAGAAAGTTTGAAGCGAGACAACAAGTAAAATCCGAGAGCTCCGATCGGGCATAATAGTACGTTCTTGTGACGCATAGACCGTCCGTAGAACACCTTGCCCCTATTTGTTTTGCCATCACACATTTGCATGATTAAGCAATCCCAATCTTGAGACTCTTTAGCTTCGTTCCGACCCTTAATTAGAAAGCAATCAGATAATTCCGCAGAATGTAGACTTTCCATACGAAGAACACCACTCAAGGTAAATAAAAACATTAAGCGATGTCTTTGTCATAAATAAACATTAGAGCCATATATAAAATCTCAGACAATTAAGGAACAAACAATTTTCGTACCTAATTGAACCAAATGCGTTTCGAAGAGTGGATTTGGTGAAACCCTCCCTCCACATCTCCTCCTCGATGAGCTTGTCTTTCCCTTTCCCCTTCAACAGGGTATGGTCAGGGTTCATCTTCTCCTTGTGGTGCACTTTTTTCATTACCCCCTTGCGCCTTTTCACTAGCAGTTCTAAATCCTTGCACCAGGGAGTCCATATTTCCTGGTTCCAATCCAATCCAGTGGTTTTGTTTCTCAAGTTTTTTTCGTGGAGTTTTTTTATCGCACATTTGTACTGATTGAAACAGTCGTACCCTGGCGACGAACCCTCGCCCTCTGGTAAGTCACCAAAACATAAATGCGGTGGCACATGGTTTGTGTCCGTGTCCGGTGATCCTCGCGTTGCGCTCCAAATTCGGTTGTATTCCTCAAGATTGAAGTAACCACTGGTGCCTTTTTTCTTTCCACGTGGTCTCACTTGGCGATGAACAACATAATAAAAAAATTTATACACTTTTTCAAAGGTGACATGACATGGGACGGGATCGTCACCGTAGACTACCCTGCAAAACTCCAAAAATTCAGCCTCTTTGGGCTCGTAGGCTGCTTTCGTATTGGGTTTTGCAATGGCATCGAGCACGTTTCCAACCCATTGCTGATGTTGTTGCAGTTGCGACTGGGCTTCAACATGCCTCGCACCATCCGCCAGCGCCTGGCCTGGCGAGCGATTATACGGCTGTTGCTGAACAATTTCAGTACGACCCACACCAAATTGAGGAACAACCATAGTCACTACGGCAACTACAATTTTATGATTTCCAATCACCGCATTGGTGCACCGTATCATAGGCCATTTGCCTTCCCCCAAAATTGGCTCGAACTTGACGATTCCAGCACAGTCGCCGTCTTTGAGCAGTTTGATGCAGGACGGGAGTATCAGAACGGTCTGCCAGTCCTACGGAATGGACGAAATGACGTCAGTGAGCAATTAATAACGGGAGTTATTAATGGCTCGATGCGTCATCGAGCTGTCAGGGCCATAAGTAAAATAACAGTTATTTTCAGCTCGAATTTAGGGCCCCGGCACTAGCGGACTGCAGAAACCTTTAGTCCCAGGTGAAAATAATACCCATCACATTGCTCTCACAAATCCATACTTCCAGCCACCAGAAGCAATTGCCAGTTTACCAAACACCAACCAATCATATCATGTCTACTCAATCCAACAACACCATGACCCAATTGTCACTAAGTCGCCCCCAAATGTCACTGAAGTCTTCTTTGCACAAGATGCACAAGGTGATGCCGTCCTCCGACTTGCTTCCGTGTGCTCCTCCAAAGGATGATACACCAGAAGAACGAAGCGCCTTCGTGATTGGAATCTTGGATGAAGTCCTTGACATTCTGAATGACGACTTGTTCGACGACGACGACGATGACGACGACGATCTCGACTTCAACACCAACTCAGACCGCTGGTTGTAAGAGGAGGTGACACAACCACATAGGTTTCCTGCCACTGCTACAATGTAAGACCAAAATGTAAATATAGATATAGATACAATATTTCCTACAGATACACTTATTCATGAGCTCGAAGAGTATTCAATATTGTGTACTGGAGACATGATGATGCATTTGTTCCTTGTTTACAGAACACAAAGCAATTTTAGTTTGGGAAGAGGGTCATGTATCCTGCTGCCGATACCCGTACTATTAGTACTCGAATTACACTACTCGATATTGAATATGGCTAGTCTAGTTAATTATGTAGAGAGATATTTGTCCCGTGTAAAAGTAACTATACGGCAACTTATTGTCTATTCTAATGATAAATGAATCTGTATCGAATAATATTTGTATCTAGATTTAGTTTCAATGTGGCTTTACATTATGCCACGGCAAAATTGTACTTTGTCTCTTGGTGGGTTCAACAGGCCATGTGACTCGGTGATACCCTGAAAATTGTCTCGGACTGTCTCCTGCTAATGCGCTGATTGATAGTGAGAATGCGGAGCATAAACAAGGCTCGACCGTCGCACTGGCTTCTGTAGGACCTTGGTCGTCACAGGTGAGGACCATTTCGATTCTGGAACTTCATCGTTGAAGTCTCCGTGCAAACTTTCAGCATAATTCCACTGGCAATCGTCACCCTCGGTAGCCTCAATGATATCGAAGACAGCGTTGAGGGCTGATTCGATGTGAGAGAGGTCCTCCATTGATTTTCTCCTTTGCGGCTGCAACATAGGCATGGAAGAATTACGGTTTTCACGAAGGACGAGTCGCTCCTCATCTCCAGAAACAGTGGTCCCTTTCGCCTGCCTGTTCTTGTTCTTGTTCTTGTTGATTGCACTCGTTGGCAAGCCCGATTCGCATAAGAGGCTGGCAGGAGATTCTTCAAAAATAGAATCATCATCGTCCCCAATGGTCAACATGGAAACCAGTGCGTAGCTGGATTGTGATGCATGTATCTCATTGGGAAGTGTCTTCGTGGGGAATGGCAGAGGGCTGCTGTGGTCAGCTAGCGTCCAACGGCAATCCATGGTTTGCATCATTGCATTAAAAAGTGAGACTATATTTTATAATTGTCGAAAATGCCAGTTCTCCAAAGAACCTAACGTATTGCACACCCCTGATTACAAACTCAATTCTTCGAGGGTGATGGTATCCCCGAAAACACCACGGTACTCAATAATACACCGAAGGTTAAGTTGAACTTCGGCGTAAGGTCCCGACACAAATATCACAATTGGGTACCCAATGTACGTTACTGTACCGGACACAAATGGTCAAGAAGAGAGGCTAATTGACATAATCTGATCAGACTGTACACAAACCGAACTTTTCTTATCAGTCTTGTTCTCCAAGAACATCGGCTTTCTGTCTTATCGATTAAAGGGCATGGGTTCACATAGACATCGACATGGCAGAAAGACACCCGTCGTCACAAAATTGCGGTAAGGGTGCCGTTCTGTCCAAAATTCCGGGATAAGATTTCACACCCCCATTATAATACCCATCACATTGCTCTCACAAATCCATACTTCCAGCCACCAGAAGCAATTGCCAGTTTACCAAACACCAACCAATCCTATCATGTCTACTCAATCCAACAGCAGCATGACCCAATTGTCACTAAGTCGCCCCCCAATGTCACTGAAGTCTTCTTTGCACAAGATGCACAAGGTGATGCCGTCCTCCGACTTGCTTCCGTGTGCTCCTCCAAAGGATGATACACCAGAAGAACGAAGCGCCTTCGTGATTGGAATCTTGGATGAAGTCCTTGACATTCTGAATGACGACTTGTTCGACGACGACGACGATGACGACGACGATCTCGACTTCAACACCAACTCAGACCGCTGGTTGTAAGAGGAGGTGACACAACCACATAGGTTTCCTGCCACTGCTACAATGTAAGACCAAAATGTAAATATAGATATAGATACAATATTTCCTACAGATACACTTATTCATGAGCTCGAAGAGTATTCAATATTGTGTACTGGAGACATGATGATGCATTTGTTCCTTGTTTACAGAACACAAAGCAATTTTAGTTTGGGAAGAGGGCCATGTATCCTGCTGAAGATACCCGTACTTTTAGTACTCGAATCACACTACTCGATATTATGTAGAGAGATATTTGTCCCGTGTAAAAGTAACTATACGGCAACCTGTCTATTCTATTCAGTTTTCTACTAATGATAAATGAATCTGTATCGAATAATATTTGTATCTAGATTTAGTTTCAATGTGGCTTTACATTATGCCACGGCAAAATTGTGCTCTGTCTCTTTGGTGGGTTCAACAGGTCATGTGACCCGGTGATACCCTGAAAAATTTTCTTGGACTGTCTCCTGCTACTGCGCTGATCGAAGGTGAGAATGCGGAGCATAAACAAGGCTAGACCTTCGTACTGGCTTCTGTAGGACCTTGGTCGTCACAGGTGAGGACCATTTCGATTCTGAAACTTCATCGTTGAAGTCTCCGCGCAAACTTTCAGCAAAATTCCACTGGCAATCGTCACCCTCGGCAGCCTCAATGATATCGAAGACAGCGTTGAGGGCTGATTCGATGTGTGAGAAGTCCTCTATTGATTTTCTCCTTTGCGGCTGCAACATAGGCATGGAAGAATTACGGTTTTCACGAAGGACGAGTCGCTCCTCATCTCCAGAAACAGTGGTCCCTTTCGCCTGCCTGTTCTTGTTCTTGTTCTTGTTGATTGCACTCGTTGGCAAGCCCGATTCGCATAAGAGGCTGGCAGGAGATTCTTCAAAAATAGAATCATCATCGTCCCCAATGGTCAACATGGAAACCAGTGCGTAGCTGGATTGTGATGCATGTATCTCATTGGGAAGTGTCTTCGTGGGGAATGGCAGAGGGCTGCTGTGGTCAGCTAGCGTCCAACGGCAATCCATGGTTTGCATCATTGCATTAAAAAGTGAGACTATATTTTATAATTGTCGAAAATGCCAGTTCTCCAAAGAACCTAACGTATTGCACACCCCTGATTACAAACTCAGTTCTTCGAGGGTGATGGTATCCCCGAAAACACCACGGTACTCAATAATACACCGAAGGTTAAGTTGAACTTCGGCGTTTTCAAGGTCCCGACACAAATATCACAATTGGGTACACAATGTACTGTACCGTACACAAATGGTCAAGCAGAGAGGCTAATTGACATAATCTGATCAGACACACAAACCGATCTTTTTTATCAGTCTTGTTCTCCAAGAACATCGGCTTTCTGTCTTATCAATTAAAGGGCATGGGTTATTCACATAGACATAGACATGGCAGAAAGACAACCCTCTCGACACAAAACTGCGGTAAGGGTGCCGTTCTGTCCAAAATTTCCGGGATCAGATTTCATACCCATTACCCATCACATTGCTCTCACAAATCCATACTTCCTGCCACCAGAAGCAATTGCCAGTTTACCAAACACCAACCAATCATATCATGTCTACTCAATCCAACAATACCATGACCCAATTGTCACTAAGTCGCCCCCAAATGTCACTGAAGTCTTCTTTGCACAAGATGCACAAGGTGATGCCGTCCTCCGACTTGCTTCCGTGTGCTCCTCCAAAGGATGATACACCAGAAGAACGAAGCGCCTTCGTGATTGGAATCTTGGATGAAGTCCTTGACATTCTGAATGACGACTTGTTCGAAGACGATGACGACGACGATCTCGACTTCGGCACCAACTCAGACTGCGGGTTGTAAGAGGAGGTGACACAACCACATAGGTTTCCTGCCACTGCTACAATGTAAAAACCAAAATGTAAATATAGATATAGATACAATATTTCCTACAGATACACTTATTCATGAGCTCGAAGAGTATTCAATATTGTGTACTGGAGACATGAATCATTTGTTCCTTGTTTGTTCAGAACAGAAAGCAAGTAAGGGAGATTTTTCTCCCTCTCCTTTCATTGAAAAAACTGGGACGTTCGTCTTCAAGACGATACATTTTTACTTCAGCTATCCTTGGTAGAGGAAAGGTACTATAGAGTTGGATTGTAAAGAACATTTGTCATTTCACCCTACTATTCTATGGTCGCGAGATGTACGGTGGAAGTCACCATACCCATGGCATAGTTGCGATTAGATCCGCATGACGCAAACTCTACAGGCTAAATTGGTACTGGTCGCTGATTACAAACCCCTTCCTTGGGGGTTGTTACAACTCTCCAAAAACATGACGGTACTCAAATCACCGAAGGTATCTTGACCTTCGGGATTTTTAAAAGGTTGAAGCAAAATCACAACTGAGTGCACATGTACCTGGTACGGTACCGAACTACCCACAGGTTCAAGAAGAGCGGCTAACTGACATCTCTGATCAAATACGAACCGAATTCCTCCAGGCTATCGGTTTCTGTGTGTTCAATTAAGGTACACGTATATTGTAGACAAAACGACACTCGTCCGACAAAACTGCGGTACTCTACCGGTACTCGCGTGCAAAATTCCAGGATTAGATTTCGTACATCACACATCACCCATCACGACATATTGCTCTCACAAATCAAGATTGCCAACCAGAATCAATCGCCAGTTTACCAAACATCAACCAATTCTAGCATGACTACTCAATCCAACAGCAACTTATCACGAACGCAATCATCGTCGTTATTGAATTCTGCTATGCACAAGATGATGATGTCATCTTCCGACTTGCTTCCCCGTCGTCGTGCTCTTCCGAAGGATGATTCACCAGAAGAACGAAGCGCCTTTGTGATTGGAATCTTGGATGAAGTCCTTGATATTCTGAATGACGACATCTTCGACGACGATCTCCTCCTCGATGCCAAGTAAGAGAGAACAAGAGAGAACAAAATTTTGCCTCTTGCTAGCTAGCTAGTACTACTACAATGTACACAAACGAAAATGTAAAGAACCAAAATGTAAATATAGATATAGATTACTCATTTACAAAATCAATCAATCAATCAATCAAACAAACAATCGTTCATTCATTCAGTCTTTAATTCCAAGAGCATTTAATAGTGTGCAGAGACATGCAATTTGTTCCTTTTTGCAAACCACAAAGGGAGAAAAAAAAGGACCATCCTGCGCTAACGATATTCATACTTGGCCCGAACCACATGGACTACCTATTCCATATAAGGACTGTCTCTTACTTTGTCCCATTCGCGTCACTTGCTGCGGCGGCGGATGCCGCCACCTGTGCACCGACGGTAGTAGGAGTATTATGTTTACTTCCAGTCGTCCTAGTGTCTTGGTTCGGCGTAGTAGACTTTGCAGCAGGAGGGGCAATCTTCGGAGGAGCACTGACCGCCTTTGGATTCGGCGGGAGACTTTTCGTAGAAGATGATGAGGCAGTGACTTTTGCGGCAGCAGGTGTTGATTGGGACGTGTTGTTGGATAGCGTCGATGCCGGCGTTGTTGTCGTCGTCGTTGCCTTGGACGGATTACTACTTGGTGTTGTTGTTGTTGTTGTGGCTGCTGCTGCTGCTGCTGCTGGTGTGGGAGTTTTGGGTAGTGGAGCTGGTTTGGGAGACGATTGGCCACTACCACTACTGGTGACCGTCACTGGTTTGGCACCACCACGGCCACCGCCACCACCACTACCAGAGGCACCACCTTTAGAAGCAGGAGATCGTTTGCGCTTGGACTTTTTCTTTTTGCCGGAAGACGACGAACCACCACCAGAATTTTGGCTGGTCGCTTTGGTGGCTTGATTCAACGCAAGGGAAGCTTCCGAGGAAGCCGTTCCTCCCAGCACCAATCCAATGTCAATGTGCAAATTGCGAAGCGCCGTGACATAGACTGGATCGTAGGCAATTTCGGGATAGTCAATCAATAGATTCTTGACGACATCCCGCGCAAAACTTTGAGACTTGGGGTCTAGTTTTGCCTTTTTGCTGCGTTCGTTGCTGCTCTTATTATTCTTGGCTTTGTCACTAGTATTCTCCGCACTAGTAGGATCACCACCACTATCTTGATTATTATTATCATTGTCCACCACCATTGGATCATCCTCCACTGTTGTTGCTGTTGTTGTTGCTGCTGTTGGCATTATTTCATCATTACCATCATACGCATTGGTTTCAACAGCCACCCGCCTTTGTTCTTCCTGTTGCAAGAGCTTTAGTGCTTCTACCAATCGTTCTTGTCTCAATTGCGATTGTTTCCATTCGTGTTGAGCTTCCTGAATCTCTTGCAATATATTGGCCGGTGTCACCACATGATGTCGTGGCTTTCCTCCCCCCACGCAGTACAATCGTTGTTGTTGTTGTTGTGGTTGTGGTTGTTGTTGTTGTGGTGGTGGTTGTGGTTGCGGTTGCTCTTTGTTCTTGTTGTCTTTGTCATTGCTGCCGTCTTCCTCCTGCTCCTCCTCCTCCTCCAACTCGTTGCCATGGTCATTGTTGTTTTCCGACAATGCTACAATCTGTATCAATCCCAATGCCACTAGGAGTTCCAAAACATCCTTCCAAACACTTCCAGCACCACCACCACCACTAGTACTGGTTTCAGGCAAGTTGAATTCCAATTGTGCTTCCGTCAATGGTCCATCTATATATATATATATATGCATGCATCATAATGATGTACAATGAAAACAAAAGATTAGCATTAGGATTTTGTTTCTAGTATATATATACACACACACACACACAAACACAAACACACACACAAACACACATATATAAAAACTTACAGGTTTCCAACAAGACATAAATATCATGAATCAATTGAGATACAATACTGTAATCATGACCGCCTTGTGGTTGTGGTTGACTTGTAGCAGCAATAGTAGTAGCAGTAGCAGTAGTAGTACCAGCAGTTCCATTTCCATCAGCAGCACCAGAAGGAGTATTATTGCTATTGTTACTATTGTTGCTGTTGGATGACTTTTTGGCCAACGGTACTGGTTTGCCGTTATTGTTGTGAGCCGTTGTTGTTGTTGTTGTTGTAGCAACCTTGCTGCTGCTGCTGCTGCTGGATTGTGGTGGCACTGCAGGAGAGGTGGCTGCAGTAGTAGTAGTAGCAGCAGCAGCAGCTGGCCGAGCAGTTGTAGTAGCCTTGTTGGGGATTTTTGTCTTCACAGCACTAGTACTAGTACTAGTACTAATACTAGTTGGCGGAGTAGTAGTAGTAGTAGTGTTAGTATTTGTTGTTCCTCCTTTGTTGGCAGGTTTTGCTGGTGTTGTGGTTGGTGTTCCGGTAGGTGATAGTATCACCGCTCTTGCTTGGGTAGCCGCCGCCGTGGCAGCATTCGTGGTGGCCGTGGGAACCGCTACCGATGGTGATGATGGTGGTGCCTTTTTGGTGATATTGCTGGCTGTCGTCGTCCTCGTCGTTGCCGTCGTTTGTGGTTGTGGCGCGTTTGCTTTGCCAGTACTAGTAGTAGTACTTCTTGTTGTTTTTGTTGTTGCGTTTGCGTTTGCACTTGTAGGATTGGATTTGTGCATTTTGGTAGGCGGAGGAGAAAAGGCAGCAGTTGTGGTTGTGGTTGTGGTGGTTGCATTCGTGGTGGCCTCCAATAGTTTCCGCTTCTTGGTTCCTCCAGTCGTCGTCCTATTCGTTATGGCATCGGTTGCATCTGTATTAGTTATTGACGACTGTGCTGCTGCCACAGAAGTAGCAGCTTTCGGTATAGTAGACGAAGGAAGCCTCGCTGGCTTTGTCGTCTTTGATGTTGATGTTGACGATGATGCTTGTGGTGGAAGCTCATCGTTTGTGTTCAAAGGATGATCCTTTGCGGTTGGTGTTTTCGAGTCATTCTCATCTGTAGGAGGAGCATTAGGATCCGTCCTAATTGTTGCTGTCCTTTTGCTCTTTGCCTTTTGACGAGGTGGAGAGTCTCTGATTAATGTTGGCATGATGATGGACAATTTACTGTTTTGGTTGACGCTGTTGTTTGTTTTGTTGATACTATACAGTACTGTAGGTATATTCAATATATTCAATATATTCACTATGCTCCATCTCATCCGCCGTCAAGCTTCTGGTGCCCCATATCCGCAGTCCATTTCTGTTGTTGTCTGTCCGACTGCCCTCCGTCGATGCTCGCAGGCCCCATAATACTGTACCTACCTACCAGCATGGCATTCGTTCGTTCTTTCTGGAAACGCCAGCCTTCCGAATATGGTGGACTGGCTGGCGCGCATGAAAGAGATTTCAAAAACTCCACGACTTGCAGGAAGAGAGTAGGAACGAATGAAATTCATGAATGACTATATATACTGTACGTCTACTGATACCGGTAAATAAGATTGAGTAAACACACTTACAACAAAAAGTACAAAAGGAAGCAAAGGATGGATCCCGACATGGAAGACATGGACATGGTGCAAGACACAGAAGAAGGCAATGATGACTTTAGTGAACGCGAAGACATGGATGGCATGCACGTCATTCCTCCCATGAACAGCCCTGGTGGGAGTAGTGCGGGTGCCAATGGGAATGGCGGTGGGGATGGCGGATATGCGTACAACATGGGAGGATATTCGGTCAACATCATGGAAAAACAAATGCCCTTTTTGGGACAATTGTTAGTAGCCCCCATTTTGATTCTCGCCTCCACCTTGGCCGAGTTCTCGTCCAAAAATTATGGGTACGCCACGGCCGTGGCTGTGGTGGCCATTTTGTTTTCCGCCGGTGGATTGTACTTGTTGCAAAAGGGTGAATTGTACAATCAGCAATTCATGGCCTTGCCCATTCTGGGACCCTGTTCCGTGGGATACACATTGTCGCTAGCAAACTTTGTGTGGTGGGGAGTCGCGGCTGGGATTTTGACGTTTAGTGGCCCATTTACTGTGGTACGTACAATATATAGTTTGTTGTTGTTGTTGATATTGCATTTGATATTGCATTTGATATTGCATTTGATATTGTATTTGATGTGGTTGTATTCCGTTCGCTAAAACAAATTCAATTGCTCTCTTCTCGGTATAGACTGGAAATGGATACTTTGCCGTATGGGCCGGTTTCTTTGCCTCTGCCTTGGGCGTGGGCATTACGCAACATCATTTGCAGGATTTGAATCAAACCATTCGATTGGCCACGGCGAGCATTGTCATCATTTGTGCCGTCCCTTCCACGATGGGTGGCTTTTTTGATTCCGAAGCCATCTTCGCCTTGACCTTGGCATGCTTTACTCTGGTCTTTTGCATCATTACCACCAACTTTTCCAGTCTCATTTCTCAACAAAATGCCTTTTACATGCTCCTGGGATTGACACTTCTTTGGGTCATTGAAGCGGCTCTTGTTACCTTTCGAGGACCCTTTACCGAAACGGGCAATGGATATTTTGCGTCCTGGGGGGGTGCCTTTTTGTGCATTGTCTCGGCGTCCAGCAAAGCATCCAATGCGGGCTTGTCCTCACCGAACATGTCATCGAGTATTTAAAATAAAAACTATACAATACTTTTTAAATGAATGAAGGAAGTATGGATGTTTATTTTGTTTTGTTTTGTTTGTTTAACTATATGTGTAATGTGTATATACTACTATGTATCTAAACGATGAAGGAATGCCTCCAGTACCTACCGTATATCCTATGGTAGGACTCTTTTGGTATTTTAAACTCCCCAATCGGAAGCCGAAATCTGTACCTCCAGAGAATAACCATCTCCCAAGTCAATCATGTGTTCCACTTCAAACAGGGTCTTTTCCGTCACCTTCCATCCATACTTGGCAAGCAGGGCCGAAGTACTACCACTGTCGCTGTTACCAAAGATGGAAGCAGTCCCTCCTACTCCTTGATGATTCTTCACAATGGATTCAAATTGTTCCAATAAGAATTTACGTTTTTCCCAAATGTGCGGCGGAGTGGGAGCAAGAATGATCGGTGGTTGGGCCGTTTGTTTGGCAAGTCGGAGTTCTTGGGACATTTCAAACGAAAAAGTGCTGGCAGTAGTAGTGCTGGCAGAAGTAGCAGCAGCAGCAGTAGTATCATTGGACTTGGAATGATGAACTTCCAAAGTAGATGTCGAAGTAGTCTGAATCTTATGGCTGGCATGTTTCCGCAAATATCGTCCCTGTTGACTACTATTACTCTTTTCTTCTTCTTCTTCTTCTTCTTCTTCCAGTCCTCGTCCTCGTCGATTCCTACCACCACCACCACCACCACCGCCCACTGTACCATAAAATTCCACCAATTTGTCATAATTGGAAGCATCGGGAGACTTGTTCACACTAAAGTTCTCGGTGTAATCCAAACAATTGCCAAGATCCGCATTGTTAAAGTCCTCACTGCGTGATTTTTGGAATTTTTTGGAATTTTTTGGAATTTTTGAATGCGACGAACAAAAGTTTGAGCAAAATGCAAAAAACACTTGTAGGATCCCAATATACAACACAATACAACAACGTACTCGGTATGAGGCAATCCAAAACCGTGACCAATCTCATGACACATGGTATACTGTTTCAAGTCTAAATCCCCATTGCCCAGATAGTAATCGTTCATTTTGGCATTGCAATTGGCATAGTTCCGATCCCTATCCAAAATACAAGTGGCCAATCCCCTCCAGGGTTGCTCTCCATAATCACCATTGCAGACTTTGATTTTGCCATCGACGGGGGTGCATTCGGGATCGTGATCGACGCGGGTCGTGGTCAAGGACAGGGCATCGGGGGATCCAAATTCCCAATCCGTCACGGCGAGGGTGAAGACGGCCTGCCAGGAATCGTCCAGGGCATTCAAGATTTCCATTTCCAGACCGGTCTTGCTGGGGACCGACCAAACGCCGACAATTTGACCACCGGCAAAGGGATCTTGCAAATTGGTAATGTCAAAATCGGGAGAGACGCCCTTGGCAAAATTTTCCAAGGCACCGGCATTGCCCGTGGCAATGACCAGTCCAATGGACGAGGCAATGAGTAACAAGACGGCAAAGATGTACGAACAAATCTTGGCGGTCCCACACTTTTCGGGAGGGGCAATCCGTTGTCCCAAGGTAGTATTTTGGAATTTCTTGACCGGTCTGGCACCCATCTTTTTGGCCCGTTTGTATCCCTTTCCAGTCGCCTTGCGAACCTTTTTGGGGACTGCTTTGCGAACTTGTTTGGGCATTTTATGTTTCTTTGTTTTGAATTGTTGTTGTTGTTGTTGTTGTCCTCCTGCTCCTTGACCAGCAGAAGAATGATGACTGGAACCACCACCTAGATTGCTGTTGCCATCTGGCGGAGGAGGACGTCGTTTGCCCTTCATGAGGCCAGCATTATTATTAGCGCCTCCGCCACTGCGATCTTGCGATCTTCCGCGAGGACCAGGACCAGCGGAAGCACCTCTTCCACCGCCTTCACCGGTAGGGGTTTCACTTCGTCCTCGCACCATAATGAATAATGATGATGATGATGATGATGATGATTATTTACTTTTCTTATTACTTGTCACTGTCACTTGTTACTTGTTAGGACTGTATTGGAGTACACTTGTTTGATGTTGGTATGGTGTTATATTGACTGTGACGATGTACCGTGGTACGTGGTAGGTATATGCTGTATTATGATCACAATAAGAGTGGCAACTGCAATGACTTGACAGTATACTGTACTGGTACTGTAACTGTATTGTAACTTCTTGAAAAAGTTGAAATGTCTCACACCACCGTTTTTCGGAAGGAAGGAATCAATCAATCGGATGCCAAAATTCGAAAATGCCCCGCAGTTTCGGGATTTTTCCATAAGTGGAGTTTCCAGGGATCGAAAAGTTTAGATGGCGTGGAATTGGACAATGAATGAAGAATGAGGGGGAATCGTTTTGGGAGAGGCATTTTTTTAAATATTCATGTCGCCCCCATTTCTCCATTCAACCTCAGATCCATTTTAGCATCATCGGTAATATAATAATATAAGAAACAGAAACGTACAGTATAATATATATTCTTCCGCTCTGCACTCATCATATAAAGTATATATAGTATCGCAAGGTCATAATGTCTGACCTCCTGGCACCCTCCTTTGTTGCGGCAACCCTTCCGGACCAGGTGGTTGGCGAATAACTGCACCAGCAAGTGAAATGGTGCGTTATTATTATTTTCAATTTGCGGCAAGAATTAAAATTGCAAGAGCAACAACAACAACAAGAAGCTAGCTAGCTAGTCAACAAGCTATTTGCTATCTATTACCATTATTACGGGTCCCATGGGATCGTCAATCTTTGCCAGCACCGATTTTGGCAAGCATGGGAAATTTGACGCTTCTCTCCCGAATTGCGTACAAGGTGGAATTTCCACCAAAGAATCATAATGATATGATGATGGCGACAATAAGGCTGCCCCCAATAATCGCAACAACAATAATAATGATTCCTCGTTGTCATCATCATCATCATCATCATCATCATCACGAGCGGCAGGTCATTGTACTCTTTCCCAACTTGCCGAAATTGAAATCCGCAATGGTGGCATTCTCAAGGCCAAATTGAGTCAAGACGACGACGACGACGACTACGACTACTCTACTACTACTAATAACAATAATAATAATACTGTGGAAGTATAGGCTTTGTCCATATGGCGACATTGACAACAACAACAACAACAACAACTATTCGGAATCATCAAAAAATGGTACCCTTTCCATTTGGTTTGGTGGATTCTCTGGAATTTGGTTGACCATATATTCGGATGCGGTCGGAATTGAAAGGCGAAATTATGATTCAAAGTAGTATATAGTCCTAGAGTCACCTATTCTTTTTCAGTCTATACCTCGGCGGCTCGCAAATTACCTAGAACAAAAGTATTTCTATTTCTATTGATACAACCATAGGACTAGTATATATACTAAACTAACCATTGTTCAAATTGGAAAAGGCAGGAAAGGTAGACTCGATCCGTTGCCGCTCACTTCCAGCAGTCACCAATTGACATGGTGTAGCTCCGTGGATCACAGATCCAAGGAGTAGCGTTGACAATTCCAATCGTTCAATCGGATTCACATTGTCTTGAATGATCGTGTCCGCTACGCTTTTCTGGAAACAATGACTGGCACAGAGTACCACATGCAATTCCGAGTACGGAATCGATAATGCCCCACTGCAGCTCAGAGCGTCCAAAAGATCAAATGCATGGTTGGTCTCGGATCGAACGTCGCTTCCCGACAATGTTGATTCAGATGGCTTATTCTTCAACAGATTCTCTTGTCGTCTTCGTGTCCAAGTCTTGGTGGTCTTGATGACAGTAGATCGAAGTGCGCTGTCCTTATCAAACTGTTCGATTCGTTTGTTCAAAGCTTTTGGAATGGCCGAAAAGTCCAACGCACTGCTGCTGCTGCTGCTGCTACTACTACTACCACTTGTACCTTCCGTTTGATGTTGTTGGTGTTGTGTTTTGCGTTTGCTACCCGAAAGGTTCTGTGATGCGGAAGCAGTGTCCTCGGCAATCGGAGGGGTGGGCGTCCGATGATGATGATCCCCTGATGGGGAAGACGGCGGGGGAGAATATGCCGGAGAGGACGATGCCTCTGGAAGTGCTGCTCCAGTTCTATTAGCGGCAACAGGTGGTGGTGGTGGTGGAGGCGTGCCAAACAAGCCACCACCAACACCTGGTGCTGCCATCGAAACAGCAGCAAAGGGATGACTTCCAAATGGTTGAGGCGCAGAACCCCCAAATCGCGCAGGGGCTCCAAACATTGTAGATGATTCAGCAGCCATGTCTGCTTTCATAGTAGCTTTTTCCAATTGATTCTCCATTTCCGAATTGATTACACCCAAGACCGACTCGACATGCGACTTGACAACGTCCACTTTTTCTTTCGAGGTGACAGAAGCAGACGGTTCGCCATCATATGACAATAGATCAGATGGTACCTGATGCTCCACAAAGAGTTCCATGAGATCTTGGGTCAACTTGATCTCCTTGGCAAGCGAGTCTTCTGGGATGCCCAACAATTTTTCCAGCTGTGGTTTAATTTGAATGACCGCAATTCCAAATACCGAAGAGGAAAGCTGCATACTACGGAAGGCTTCTGCAAATCGCCGCTGCTCGGGGGACAGGGATTGAATCGCATCCTTGAATTCCTTCGCTGATGGCAACTCATTCAGCAACAATGGGATCATAACTTCGTCTTTGTTCTGAATAATGATGGCATCTTTCGGTTGCAATTCATCGACTCCCATCATTGTCCCCACCACCAAAAGGAAGGAAGAGAATTGTCGAGCACGCGCCACCAGTCGAAAGGAGTTTGAAATATTCTCACCTTGCGATCGAAAATTCATCCAGCCGTGGAGATGCGTCTTCCCTGTCAGATTGACAGTGGTAGCTGCTGTCAACTGCACCTTGAGGGGAGGCGATGACATTACCTGGCGCGTCAGAGTGTGAATGGGCTCACCACCGTCTGTCTTTTCCAAGCTTATCACTCCATATGGATAATGTTGGGGTCGACCAATGGAATAGCAAAATGGTTTGGGCGGTGGCTGAAGGAAGCGAGAATTATGGTACCGAACAAATTCTTCCAAATCAGTTGTGGTGACTCGTTTCCCAATCGCAGCAAAGAGCTGCTTCTCCAGCATGTCCTCAATGTAATCGATGGCTTCTTTGTATTGTACAGAAAGGTGCCCCATGTGCACACACAGCACCACAATCTTGGCTTCAGCAGAAGATACTACACTCGTCGTTTGTGATGACGGAAATCCCGTTTGCAAAGTCTGAACTTTCTCTTCCAGTGACCGGACGTGTTCGTTCAATAGCTTGATGCAATCATCACCCGTCATATTGACATTAACTCCTGATGTTGTGGAACCACCGGGGATCGCGAGCTGGGACTGACTGAGGCGCTCCGTTGCCATAGTATTTGGAACGCTGTCATTCGGAATCGAGTCGTCCATAATCGGAAGAATTGGGACAGGAATTCCGATCGATGCGCAGGTATTGAGCCACCAGGAACTATCGTTGGCTTCCTTGACCACTGGATCGTGCTTCTCGATAACACCCCGCTGCAATGCATATGCAAAATAGGAACGGACATGGGAGGCCCATTGCTCCATGCGATTAAAATAGTCCAAGGCCTCATCCACCTGGGCATTACGACGTGGAGTCTTTGCCTCATTGGTTTGGATGTGAAATACAGTTGTCTTTTTCACTGGGTCAATATGCTGCACAAACCAGTTTAGAAGAATGTCAATGGGTGGGTGCTCACGAATTTTGGCAATTGGCGAGTGATTCGATTGAGTAACAACAATGATAGACGAGGATCGACTCTGAAGTTCGGTGCCTTGATCTTGATCCGATCCCCAAAAAGCTCGCATAATCCACTTGACATCTACTTTCCAGTGGTATTCCTTGACACGTTTCATGAACGAGTGGATGGAAGTGGTCTTTTTGGTTCCTCCAAACGTGTTTTCTTCCGTCTCTTCCGTTTTGTGAGTAGTGGATGACGGCACCTCCACAATCTGTTCGTTCAAGAAAGTACAGGCTTCGGCTGCTTGGAAGCGCAAAGTAACCGACTGGGATAAAGCGTTATTGCTGGATGAAGCTGCAGCCTTTAATTCCTGTAGAATATTCAGAGTCAATCCTAGTTGTTCAAAACAATTCATGTGCGAGGCAATCGCCATATTTGAGAGCTGTTCCGCAAGATTGTACTTGTTTTCATATTTGTGATCCACATCACCTGCCATTTTAGGATTTCGATTTGCTTCCAATATTTGCTCGACAGTTTTCATTGCATTTTCCACTACGGTGATTCAGAATTGAAATGTGATGAGACGTAAAGATGCAAAGAAATCAAGGGATGACGATGACATTTCCTATGCCGTCCTCCTTTATTCGAATCGACAGAAGAACTTACCTGAAGATCGGAATACTTGTTCGTTGAAACCGCCATATCTCGACATGGTTCTCCTTTGTCTCGTGATTGTTTTGCTTGATACACTCTTTATATAGAGGTAGCACGTTTATGGTCGGTTATTGGTGTGGAGGGAAGTCAAACATGACGATCCCAATACTGTATCTTCTTCTATCCGTATCGAATCCAGTCATGACGTGCCAGCAGAAATGCCAGACCTGCATACCCGGATTCGGGTTTCATATCAGTCTTGGGCGTATACACTGACAGACTCACTCATACTACCGTTGGCGTACGTAAACGCACAATACCACTCTGTAGTAATCGTGTTTTGAGACTTTTTTAGTTTTTTTATATATAAAAATTGTTTTGTCTCTCATAACACTGTTACTGAGGAACGAAGTACAGACAGCGTCTGTCATGCGACATAAACACGATTACTACAGAGTGCACACAATACTAATGGATCTTTCACAACCGTATTAATGAGTACCATACCTGGTACCAGGTACCATCGGCAAGGGGTATACTGGTACCTGGTACAGCGCAGTAGGAGCATTCATTGGCAATTGTACTGTGTATCGTAATTGGTTAATTCTAGTATGATTCCCTTCTTCGCTCCTTCGCTCCTTCGCTTCCACCTTCGTCTGAGCGAGAGTACGGTAGCCTATACCCTTTACGACCAGGTACCAGCCGCCACCACTCTAGTCAACATTGATTGATTGATTCATTCAATGCTCATTCTGACACCCAGCAGCTGCTGGTGTTCGATGATGCCTAGTAGGTAATGAAACGGCCTTCGCAACAAGTTCTCCCTTTTGTGTCACTTTTGTTCATTCATCCCTCATGTCCAACCATCCTGCTTCTTTCAAAAGTATCAGTCGGGTTTCTATTTTAGCTGCGGGTACCATAATACCAACAACAAGAGGGTCATTGAATCACCGCTCCCAAGTGTCTGTTTGTACAACTATATATGATATTTAGCAACTTCCGGCATCATAAAAAAGGGGTGCCGAAGCGAAACTCACCCTTTTTGCGGCCAAACGCAACCGCCACTCCTCTCTCGACTGACTACTGTATTTCGCACGTGTGTACATATATATATATCATATATTGCGCAAGCGCGTGTCGAATGGCGAATACCTCCTCCAAAAAGGCGCGCCCACAGATCAGATTCTAGTATGGCCACCTCAGCAATAGCGGGATTCCCCAAGATTGACTGACTGACGGCAGAAACAAGACGGATGTTCTTTTTTGGAGACGTCTGGTGGATGATTCGCCCCACCACCACCAGATGCTGATGATGTGTTCCATTCATTCTTCATTCGTTGGATGTGGTAGTTTCTTCTACCCGGTACTGAAATTGGTACAAGAACAATAGCATCACCAGCACCTTGCTGTAGCTTGACATGGACCAGCTGCTGCTGATGGAAAAAGTAAAGCGGTTCCAGTTGGAGGGAGACTTGTAGCATGAAAGGTCTAACACTAAAGTATAACACTAAAGTACAACAATAGTATCCTACTGAATACACAAGTTATATTATGCAATGAAACGCTTCATACATTCTTGTAGTTTAGTTGATATAATAAGAAAGCATGTATTTAAAATTGTGTTTTAGTAGGCTGCTGCTGCTATACCTCGTTTGGTAGGTGATCTCTAATCTATAACACCACAAACACTCTTTCGCGTGCGTTGTGCTCTTACCAAGAGTTGGAAAGAGTGAATCAATCAGCGATTTCATCAATGGAAATGAAGACTGCAACTGTGGCCGACAGTGTGGGAATGCCCACACAAACGGATGGTTTCTTCTTCTCCTTCTTCCACGATGATGAAAAAGCTTGCGGCAGCCGGGAAAAAGTAGTGTAGATAGTGAATCAATGAATGAATCAAAGAATCGATCAATCCATCTACCCGTGCCTTCGCAGCCTCTCTTTGCTTTGATTCCGCAGCATGGAAGATGCCGAACCCATCCGGCGGGGCGCCATGGGGTTAAAGACTCCAGAATTGTTTAGTTTGGATCGAGAAAGCTTGCTGCGCGACAGCTTGCTTCTCAACGCATTCGAGGAGCCAGAAGACGCGAGATTCAACAAATCTTGAGTAGAAGTCTTGCGTACCGGCATGGTAAGTGGCATGGTGGAATGGTAGGACCCCTTTCGTGAGGACGCAAAGGAAGAGTTCTTTTTGCCCTTTAGACCTTTCGTCATGATATCGGGATTGCTGCGCGCAGTACCCTTGGTCAATCCCTGTCCTTCTTTACTGCGCTTCCTGGAAGGCTTGCGAAGATCCATGGAACCATTTTCGATCAAACCATTCATGCTGATGCGGCTGAAACTGGGTCTCATTTTGCTGCTGCTGCTGCCTGCACTGTCATTCATAAGGGAGTTCATGTCCACATTGACAGTCCTCCGTCTGCTGCCGCCACCGCTTCTTCCATTGCTGGAAGAAGAGGAAGAGGAGGCGGCAATGGTGGAAAGTAGAGTACCGAGAGAAGGACCAGAGTCGTTCTCTGGAAAGTCCCATCGGGAGTTTCTTCGCTTGTTTCCATCCCCTGTAGGGCTTCCCACAAGATCCCATTGGGCATTTGCCATTTTAGGTTTGGAGGAACCCCCTAAAGTACGCGTCTGTTTGCGGGGTGACTTCTTCGTGCTCCAGAACTTATCAATGGGGTTGTCTCCTCTCGTTGACGGTTGTGGTTTTGATTGCCCTGATTGCGGTGTTTGCGTCTGAGTTCTACAGCCCATCATGGCCTGTTTCAGGGCTAGACTCCTAGCATCAGCAATCGAAAGATCAAAGAGATCATCCGAGGAACACTTTCGTTCTGGTTTCGGGATTGGCTTGGTGGAAGATCGCCTCTCTGATTTATCAAAGACTGGACTGTTGTGGTGTTCTGACAATCCAAGGTGGCAGGGCTCTGTTTCAGAAGACCACTTGCAGGGTCGTTTGCTGCTAACAATGGGGCTGCCATGAGTGCTGTCCGACATGAGAGAATCATCATCAAAGGAGATCTGAGAGACCTCACTCCGAAATGAGCCTTGTTGGCCTCGAATGAGCATAGGGATTCGGTTCATGTTGGTGGCTGTTCTTGCTGTTGCTGTTTCTATGTTTGCTATTACAACTACTACTTCTTTTGCTACTTCTATAGATTCTCACTTTTTTAAGCACCCACTGGAAAATGTACTTTGTAAGATGACTCGTACTTGAGTTTTTTGGTTTCTTTCCTGTTTTTAGTTCGGCTGCTGCTGCGAGATGCACTTTCCTTCTCTCCAAATTTTCCTACCGCGAGCTGCGTGCACAAAATTCTTCCCGATTCCTTTGGGAATCTTTACTTATTTTTACTTAGTGCGGAGCCATTTGATAAATATATCTGGTCGGATTCTTCACTGAGATTTATACACATTTATTGGCAATTATCTCTGCCAGATACAGGCGAACGTCTTATCGATATAAGTAACAGAGAGAAAATCGCCTTAGTTGTGTTGCTTTTGACATAAATTGTTAAGCCAGTAGCGCGGTTGATGTTCGCCCCAAGTAGGAAATTCGAGTCCTCTCCACACGTCATGTTCGATTTGCTAGACTGGCTACAATTCCAAGACTACCTGGTACCCACCACCGCCTGGCTGCGGGTGGGTGACAAAATTACGGTACAACTGATCAAGAGCCATCAGCTCTCGGGCAAATACAAAAAATCGGGTCCACCACGTACACAGAATATATATAAACCGATCAGAGGGAGCTTTACGACCACAGAATACACCGATAGGACCAACAACATCCAACTTCATCATATATATATCCTTGGAATCGTAGTTTGGTCTTGCACACATTGTCTTATATAAAATTGTTGGAACCATCCTCAACATGGGTCGAGCAAATTGGGACTCTGATCAGCAGTATCATACCGGTACAGTACCGGTACGATGAAAGTTCAGATATCATCCTCCACGCAGATATCATCCTCCACGTGGCTGTGGAGTGATCCATTTGTTTGGGATCCATCATGCATTTTGAAACGACTAGTACGGTACCAAGCATATATGAGCATGGCTGCTGGACTGGAGTAGTTCCAGCTCTTACTACTCGAGCTGCCTATCTACTACAAATAGTACATACTACTACAGCATGAAACGTTCTTCAGAGATTGAGTCAAACAACTGCAGACTCAATAGTGTAGTCATCTACTACTAGGTACCGATAGTAGTATCATGATTGTATTAATTGTAGTACTCTTGCCATCTCCCATCCTCCCAACCGTCACCGAAACGCTTGTGTCTCTTCAGCCATTTGTGTCAGCAATTGAAGTTAAAAGTATCGCATGGTACCATACTGAATATATTCTTCTACCATCTCCTATCATCTTCCAACCCCCTCACCAAAATCTTGTGCTGTTCTTGGCGTTCAGTTGTACCTGCATCGGCAAGAATTTGTATTGAAGTTGCGAAGTGTCAAAAGGTGTCTGTCAAGGTGCCGTTCTCTTCTGCTATCTCTCGTCCTCCCACTCGTCACCAAGCTTCTTCTTGGCATGCATCGCAAGCAAGAATTGGTATTGAAGTTTGTGCATGCATTTATATACGGTATTATATATTGTATGCAGAAAACAAGGTATCGAGTGATTCGACCAATGAGTTCCCAATCACCCGGAGTATCTCTTGATAGATTCGGAAAAGGCCTAATCTTATAAATTAAAAACACGTAAAGGAGCACAACCAGTTTTAGTCCAGGAGAATGAATTGGTGGCTGGAACAAAGACTGAATGGAGTGATTGACTGAGTCACTGCACTTACCGGTATTGTACATCTTAAAAAAGATGTACCACTTTTGTGTTGGAGGTACAGTACCTACACCAGATACCGTTATTGTCACAGACACAGTACCACCATCAAAAGAGAAACAAAAAGGAGCATTTCTTTCCCTTGTATGTCCCATCATTGTTCTTGTTTTTACAAATGACTGACATTTCTTTTGGCATTGCTGAAGTGTCTGGCACTAGTAGCTACAGCACACAACAACAACTTCAAGTCGAACAGCCAGATGCATCCTCGACGACCACTCTTGTCACTTGGTGATTGTATCCTCTACTATACGGGTACATGGTCGTCGTAGCAGTAAGTACAAGGTACAGGAGCGTGGTGTGCCGCTGGCCTATTATGACTAGGCCCACCACTACCGACGGAAATAAGGAGTACCACAAAATATGTGTTACCACAGCCAATTTCTTGCTTTCTATTTCCAGCAAAGAGTGAGTGTGTAGTACACCAGGTAATATTAAAATTTACCACACCAAGGGCGGGGGAAACAACAAAAAGAAGAGAAATACACCAATACATTCGGTCTTTTGGAAACTCTCCTCAGCTGCATATGATTGCTAGCCACTATTTTTATTGTTTCACAATCATTGAAGACATTAGTCCGATCGAAAGACTGAAAACTGTCTGCACTTCTTCTCCATATTTAGATGAGTGATTGATTCACGACGGGGCTACAGCATGCACCATAGCAGTTCTTGGTCGGTGACAGCTGGATCTGGTGAGAGGCGGCAGTGGATCGAGTCAGTCTACTAGCTTTCTGCCTTGCCCAAAGTGGAAGCCTTGCTTTTCTAGAAGGTTGCGAGCCGCGATATACCGGTACTACAGTACCGGTATCGCTTTCAAAGATCCGCATCTAAACGCTAAACAAGTACCTAAGCCAAAAAATCATCAATATTGTCAAAAGCCCAAGAGTTTTGTAATCGTTGTGCCTTCTTTATTTGTCTTAAGCGTCAAAAGTTTCTTCTACATCAGCCGACCCCGGGGCAGCAGCCACTTCTGGTCTAGCACCCTTATCCTCATCAGGAGTTTCTTCTGCATTGGCAGAGCCTTCGGCAACGACCGCTTCTTTCTCGGTAGGTTTCTCCTCCCCTTCCTTATCTGCGTTAATAATTTCTTCTACAACGGTCCCTTCTTGTTCACCAGGTTTGCCGACTTCTGTTTTCTCCCCCTTTTTGGCATTTGTATTGTCTTTCTTCTCCCCCGCCTTAAGAGCTCTCCATTTTTCGTTGAGTTTGCTGTATTGCTCCTTGTTTTTGGCTGCGATGCGTTCTGCCTGCTCTAGTTTCTGATTAGCGGATAGAAGATCCGCCTTGGACTTGCCCAACTCTAGTTCGATGTTGGCAATGTGCTGTTCCAAGACTGGAATCTTCTCGGCATCGGTAGTCGGAGGAGTAGTCGTCTCGGTGGCTTCAGTTGTTCCTTCTCCCGTTTTGGGTACAGCGACGACGATGCAATTTTCGTAATCGACACCCTTCAAGTCTCTCCACTTTTCGTTCAATTGGGCATATCGCTTCTTGTACAAGATTTCCATTCGCTCAGATTCCTTTAGCTTTTTCTTGGTTTCTTCGAGTTCCGTCATCAAGTCATCAGGATTTGCAGCCTTGCCTTTGTCCTTGTTCCTGTTGTTGCTGGTGTTATTATTGTTATTGCGACCACGATTTCGGTTATTGTTACGTCTGGCATTGTTGTTGCTCCCCTTGTCTGCTTCCTTTGCATCTTCACCATCGCCACTTTCCTTGACCTCGGCAGTAGTTTCATCAGCACCCTTATCATCGCTTCCTTTGTTACCAGCCTTGCGGTTACGATTGTTGTTGTTGTTGTTGTTGTTTCGTCTGCGTCGTCTTGGACTGCCCCCACCTTCTTTCCTGGGGCTGCCCCCGCCTTCGTTACTACCGGCATCGGCAGGTGTTTCAGTCTCCTTTGTTACGTCCTTATCACCACTATCTTGGTTGTTGTTGTTGTTTCGGCCTCGATTGCCTTTTCCTCTGGATCCACGACCACCACGTCCTCCTCTTCCACCACGACCTCGTCCTGCACCGCCACCTTTTCCTTTGTCGCTGTTATCTTTTGCCTCACCCCCATCGGCAGCAGCTGAATCAGTTGTGTTACTTGGAGGTGCCTCTTTGGGAGGAGGGGATGCTACTTCGTCACTCATGATTAATGTTTTAGCTTTGTTTTTCTGTGTATCTTTCGAAATAAATTAAACTCAGCTCAAATACCTTACTATTGCTATAGTAAGTGGCGTGACGTTTTTTGCGAGCTGTAGTATTGATGGTGTGAGGTTGACATCGTCCTCTTGATGGTTTTCAACGCACGGTCATTTTAGAAACATAACCCGGATGCACATCGGAATTAGCGAAACGGTTCGCGGACTCAGAAATTGCTTGGGCGACAAATCCGATTCATTCCTCGTCACGTGCGGAATAGTGACATCATGCATGACATGCATCTTCGTGAAGAATAGATTCCCCAATCCGAACCTGCAAACCCGAAGTCAAATTTTGATTGCTTTCCTCTACTGTTTCTCTCACAAAACAAAATCAATCAAACCAAACCAAACTTACCAAAACAAAACAATAGAATCATGGGAATGTCTCATTCTATACTATTCAATGCTTCGTCAATGACGAAGCAACTCCCACAACTGTACAAATCAAAGCAACTCAATGCAGAACTCGCATCCATCCAATCCGACAAGGATGATCTTGATGGATACGACTCGGATTTTTCCGAAGACGAGCTCGAAGATCCCGAATGGAATGAACGCCTTGCCATTTTGGAAGACGCTTCCAATCTCGCAAAAATGGCGGACTTCTTTCTCAACCCTCACAAGGCAGTGGTGACCACCGATCCCTATGTCTGTGGACGCAACTATTTCTCGCGACCTTCTGCGCTCCCACAACAATCGCAAGAAGAGGAAGCTGAGCGAGAGTTGATCATGAACGAAATGAAGCAACTTAAACAACTTGCGATGGACTACCTACATCCAGAACGTCCAGTTGTCACTACCGATCCCTTTGCCTGTGGTCGCAACTACTTTACTCGTCCATCGGCACCACTTCCAGAAGATGAAGAGATTGCAGCGGAACGTGATCTCGTTTTGAAGGAGGCAAGACAACTCAAGAAGCTGGCTGTAGACTACCTACATCCAGAACGTCCAGTTGTCACTACCGATCCCTTTGCCTGTGGTCGCAACTACTTTACTCGTCCATCGGCGCCACTTCCAGAAGATGAAGAGATTGCAGCGGAGCGAGATCTCATTTTGAAGGAGGCAAGACAACTCAAGAAGCTGGCTGTAGACTACCTACATCCAGAACGTCCAGTTGTCACTACCGATCCCTTTGCCTGTGGTCGCAACTACTTTACTCGTCCATCGGCACCACTTCCAGAAGATGAAGAGATTGCAGCGGAACGTGATCTCGTTT